ATGTTTTTATTTTATTTGGTTTATAATTCCATACTAAGTGTAGTATTCCATTCTGTCTTTGATATGATTTAAATCAAGTTCCTCGTCATTATAATTCGCTTCCGATAGTGAAGAAAGTGACCCAGAGGTTATTGAAAACGAAAACATTTCGATTGACAAATTAGTTGGTATTCTCAACACAGCAATTATAGGACTTGAACAGCGGAACTTTGTAACTAAACAAGAAATTATGTCTGTTTAATAGAATTAAAGAGAAAGTATTATCACATGAAACGAAGCAACTTACATTGAAGGAAATGTTTAATAAAGTAAACAAATAAATATTAAGCTTTTTCTTTTTGTAAATTTAGATCATAATTGTTCTTTATTTCATAAATTACGGTTACATATTTTTAATTTTGTAATTTCTGCATGCCATCTTACCAGATTTAAACTGATGATCTATAATCCGGAAAAATCGATAATCCGCCGAAGTCCCGACGAGTCCGGATTAACGACTTTTGACTGTATAATGAATACAGGCAAAGAAGTAAAATTTGTTCTCAGGCGTTTTATAAGCATTTCAGTGCAATAACCGAATAGTTATGACACAAAGTACGCATTTGGATGATTTTTTACGTGGTAGAATTATCGGCGGTCTGGAATGTAGGCGTACCCAACTGGAAGTATCAGACGAACTTGGAATTGCCCAGAGTGTCATCTCCAGGCTTCGGCAACGATTCCAAGATGATGGAAATGTGAGTAGATGTTACAGCACAGGTCGCCCCAGAGTTACAACACTGAATGAGGACCAGTATTTGGCAGTTACTACCAAAAGAAACAGGCGGAGCACAGCCTCAGACCTGTCTCGTCAGCTCTCTTCAGCCACTGGTACGACAATTTCAAGGCCGTGTACAGACGCTTAGGGCAGATTGGTCTATATCCTCGTAGACCTGTCAGATGCGTTCCACTTACTGCAACTCACTGTCGCCTGCGGTTAGCCTGGAGTTGAGAGCACGCATTGTGGACACCGCAACTGTGGGCTTGTGTGATGTTTTCCGACGAGTCCAGGTTTAGCTTGCAGTCGGATTCTCCTCGGACTTTCATATGGAGAGCTCAAGGTACCCGTTACCACCAAGAAAACATCATTGAACGACACCGTTACGGTGGTGCAGGAGTGCTCGTTTGGGGTGGAATTATTCTGGGTTCCAGAACTGACCTGCATGTTAAAATTGGAACCATGGCAAGTGAAATCTATCAGGACGTTATTCTGGAACAACATGTACATTTGTTTCGGGTGCCATGGGTACACAATTTGTGTTTATGGATGACAACGCCCGTCCTCACCGTGCAAACATCGTAAGCGAATGCCTTCAATTGGAGGATATCACCCGTATGGACTGGCCAGCATTCTCACCGGACTTGAGTCCAATAGAGCATGTGTGGGACATGCTTGGCCGACAAGTTGCAGCCCGTCAACCTCCTCCTACATGTCTACCGGAACTTCGGAGAGCATTGCTTTTTGAGTGGTGTAATATTCCCCAAGATCAGATCGATAATTTGACACTCAGCATGCCTAGGTTTTGTACGGACTGTATTGCATCATCTGGGAGACAATGTATTAAAAATCATACCAACCATGTAATATTGCTTTTTTGTAAATAGGTTTTTTTTTTTTTTTTTTTTTTTTTTTTTTTTTTTTTGTAATTTGCTCCAGGGAGGAAAAAATCACTAATTTTTTTAATAATATCAAACATATAGCATCTTTTCTTTGCTCTTTACCTTTTGTTTAATAAATAAGCTTTACAAATAAGTCAAATTTGTTTTGCTTCTAACTCTTCCTTTTCCCAATTTTGCATTATCCTTAATTTATGGACATGAGTGTAAAACCATACTACAAATTTTGTCATGTATTAGTTGATTAATGGTTGGGATATTGTCATTGCAATGTTAAACTATATAATCATAATTTATTAAAGCATTTCTTCATATATTGAAATTGAAAAATGTTTGCCTATTACTTGTAATATATGGAAATCTTCCAATTTGCAGGTATCACCAACATCATGAAAATCATGTATTAAAACTCTCCGCGTACAGCTCCTGAGATTTCCACGGGATGCGAAATCTGTCTCATAGTATGGGTCATGTGGAAATAGCGTGCATAAGTTTATTTCTCTTATTTCCAATATGGGTCCTGTTTTTTCTCTGTGTAGGCTAAGAATATTATAATATTCATATTTCACATCCCATTTTGCACCTAGATGGCACTACAGGTTTATATCATTGTAAGGGAGTAAGTACTATTGCCTCTTTCATTTTTGGTGGGAAATATCTTTGTCATTTGCACGACCAGAATTTCAGGTCTATAAATAATAATAATAAGTACAAGTAATATTATTAGCTATACAAATTAGTTAGCATGTAGTTCAATTTATACTTTTGCCATTCACAAAAGATCACAACTTGTAAAATATTTAAATACATTCTAAAACCTTTCCATGTGGTATATTTTACCACACAAGAATTTACGTTTTGAACTAAGTACGTATCCACTCGATTTTACATTTTAAAAAATAATCAACCGTTAATTGTCAATGTCTTTTGCTGTAATTAAACGTTTAAAATTTTTAAATATTAATTTTTGATTAATTACAATATTTGTATTATAATATTGCATTGTATTTTAAGTTCCTAATTCTTGTATCAAATTCTTAAAAGATATGAATAATTTATATTCATTATGGATATTTGCTTATAAAATTAAAATATATATATATTATTTATTTAAGATGTTCTCCATGACATTATAAAAACAAGCAGAACACAAAAAAAAAGAAAAATCAAATCTAAAAAAAGAGTTTTTAATGAAAACTGGACGGAGAAATACTTTTTTATTGAGGAGTAAATAGTAAAGCACATATAGACCTGAAATGTTTAATTTGTAGTGCTTAATAATTGCTTAATTTGTGCCAGTTTTTAAAGACTACAATTTGAAATGACATTATAGTCAAAAGCATGCTGCAAAATATGATGTACATCTCGGCATTTACCATAAAGATAAAATAACAGAACTAAAAAAAAAAAAAAAGGGCTATCGTCTGAACAAATTTGTTTTCAAAAAGACAGCTACTCAGAATAATAACATTGCAAAAGCAAGTTATGTTGTAGCAAGTTTAATAGCGAAAAAAATCAGAACCCTTTATTGATGGCAAATTTATAAAAGAATGTATCGAAAGCATAGCAAACATAATTTGCCCTGAAAAAAAGTTGGATTTTTCTATAATCAGTTTATCACACCAAACTATAGCTTATATAAAGAATCAAAGAGTTGGGTAAAATCAGTTGGAGAGTCTTTAAAAGCAAATGCTTCGATTTTTAAATTTTATTCGTTAGCCATGGACGAAAGCACCGACGCTCCTGATACAGCAATCTTTATTAGAGGAATCAATGAACATTATAATATCACGGAAGAAAAGGTTGCTTTAGTATCGTTAAAGGACACAACCAAGTCTGTAGATTTACTCGATGCATTAAAAACGATGATGAAAAGGTTTTCCTTATCTATGAAAAATTTATCATCCATACCGATGAAGCCCCTGCCATGGTTGGTAAAAATAGGGGACTCGTTAAAATGGTTAATAATGAAGCTGCCGCTGTCAGCAATATGATCTTAATGGCATATCATTGTATTGTACATCAGGGCAATTTATGTGGAAAAATTTTGAAAATGGAAAGTGTAGTGTCATTATCAAACCCTTAATTTTATAAGAGCAAAAGGACTTAATCATAGACAATTTCAAGATTTTCTTAACAATAGTAACAAAGATTTTCTTAAGGGCACTGAATTTGCAGATGCTATTTATTATACAGAAGTGAGATGGCTTTAGTTTTAAATTTAGCTTTTTTAATAGTTTAGTTAAAATTTTGGCACAAATAAAAGATTTGACACATTTCAGTACTTTGGTTGCACATGAACCTGTGAGTTGCACAAAATACGTAAAATATGCTGCATTAATTTTTGATTTAATTCAAGAGTTTGAAAGTAGATTTCAAGATTTTTGAAAAAACAAAGAGTACATCAACATATTTTGTACCCCATTTTCTCTGGAAATAAATAAATTACCTTCAAATCTTCAAATGGAATACATTGAACTGCAAAGTGACATTCAACTGAAAGAAAAATTTGAAAATTCTTTACTGGAGTTTTATAAAGATTACCTACCCCGCGATAAAAATCCTTATTTTCACAATCATGCTTTATTAATGTCTTCAGATTCTGGCAGTACATATATTTGTGAACAATTATTTTCAAGAATGAAGCATACAAAAAAACAAAAACAGGACAAAGACCACTGACAAACATTTTGAAAATGCATTAAGAATTGCAACCTTGTCTATCGAACCCGATATCGATTTGCTTATTCAACAAAAGCAAATTCATCCATCTCCTTAATTTGAATTTTTTGCATCTTTATGAAATCTAAACTAAATGAAACAAAACTTTTACAGATTAATAATAAATATGTACCTATACAATCCAAATTAAAAAAAATTAATAATAAAAAGAATTTATTTTAATAAAACAACATAGAGCTAATTTTTATTTCAATTTGTTAAAAAATATTGCATGTGTGGCACGGCAAATTTTTTTCTTTGCAATGTGGCCCTCAAATGGTCATAGTTTAGACACCCATGACTTAAATAAAACTGCTGAAGTATTTTTATTATTAGCGTAATATTTCAGAAATTACAAAGATTTTGATAAACATTTGCTAAACATTTTGATAACTTATCGTAGATTAAAATTTAAGAATACGTTAACAATCGCAGAATTTATCCATTAACAACATTATGCTCAATTTCTTCTTTCAAAACAAGCTCTTAATATATTCCCTCCTTGTTAAATAATTATTCTGTAATTTCTAATGCAAAGAAAATTAAACTATCTCCATCGGTATGCAAAGCAATTTTTTCTCACAATGCAGAGTAAAATATTGCAAGAGCAAAGAATCACTTACATGTTTTTGTTTTTGATAGAATCATTAATGCGTTCCAGTTCAGTGCCAAAGCTTTTCACAGCAGTTTTTAACATTTCCATTTCTTGCATAGTCCATTTTCCACTAAATTTAAAAAGTGTTAAACTTCTGTTTTAAGATCAAATATCCCTTCACAATATATAGGTACATTAAATAATGAAGACCATGTAGTCACAGAATAATAAGAAACTGATCTTAAACGAGAACCTTGCTTCAATCAAACTTAAGAAAAATTTTATAAAAAGGTACTGAATAGAGACATTTATTCATTTTAAATTCTAAAACATACAGACTATTTCACAGTTGAGTCAATTGACTACACAATCAACAAGGTTTAATAATTTTAATCAGATGATCAAAATCAGCAACTTAAAATCATGAATTTAATCAGGAAATTTTTTAAAAAAACTATTAATACAGTCAAAAGTCGTTAATTCGGACACCCATAATACGAAATGATCTATAATCCGGACCTCAAAGCTATAAACTTTCTGCGCATGCGACGCGTTGACGCATGTGCGTAAGACCTTTATGGCTGCGAATATGCGTGAGCGCGTGCGCAAAATACGTTTACGAATGCGCGTTTAATGTATAATGGACAGTATAAGCTAAGCTAAAATTATCTAATTCAGTTAATGTTGCAGATTGCGTTGTTCCTTAATCTTTGAATTGGATTCGGCTTATTATTTTTTGCAGACTGTTAGAGCAATTTTATAAAAGTAAGCTTGAACTTTTGATTATGTCAAATAGAATTTCTGATGCATATTTACTAATATGTAAAGAATCTACAAAGCGAAAGTATGTTTCGAAGTCCATTAAACAAAAAGTGGAATTGCTGCAAAAAATGGATAAAGGCATATCCTTTGTTTATCTAAACTTTGTTTATCTTTAACGCAGCGGCGCCGCGCAATGAATTGGAAGTTGATCTGTCAGCACTATCCTTATCTTCAGGGCAGATGTTTTTATTTTATTTGGCTTATAATTCCTTACTGAATGTAGCATTTCATCTCGATGTACTCCGTCTTTGATATGATTTAAATCAAATTCCTTGTCATTATAATTCCGATAGCGAAGAAAGTAACAGAGGTTACTGAAAACGAAAATTTCGATTCACCAATTAGTCGGTATTCTCGACACAGCAATTATAGGACTTGAACAGCGGAACTTTGTAACTGAAGAAGAAATTATATCTGTTTATAGAATTACAGAGAATGTATTATCACATAAAAAACAAAGCAACTTAAAGAGCTTTTGAAGAAATGTTTAATAAAGTAAACAAATAAATATTAAGCTATTTTTTTTTTTTTTTTTGTAAATTTTGATACCCTTTAGATCATTATTGTTCTTTATTTTATAAATTACGGATTCATATTTTTAATTTTATAATTTCTGCATGCCATCTTACCAGATTTAAACTGATGATCTATAATCCGGAATCGCCGAAGTCCTGACGAGTCCGGATTAACGACTTTTGACTGTATTATACATTCTCTCATTTTTTAAATGATGACAAAAGTGTTCAAATTAAAGATTAAGATCATTTGCAATGCTTTTAAAAAGTTTAATTACTGAATAGGAAAAAATTACTTAAAATATTAGTAAATATTTCAAGCAATTTTGCATCCCAGTTCTGTTTCCAGATTGGCCATGTTAAATGCAATGCAAGAAAATGTGTCACTTCAATGTTTATCTAGTCACACGCCTAAATATGATAGATACACTGTTTCATAACACACGGTGCAAGAATGCTGTAAAAACACTAGTCAAAAATCTAAAATAGCTCATGATGAAGAATTTTTTTTTTTTTTCTTTAAAAGATACAAATGTGTCATTTTAAGAGTAGGAAATCCTCATTTTATTAAATTAATGGAGATGCTGCATCCTGGATAAAAGCCTCCATCTTCACGTGAATTAAGTATTAAATTATTAAAATGATATCTCTGAAGTATGCAGGATGCTAGTCCTTGACAGTTGGTCTAAAATCAACATTCAATTAATAATATATGCATATATTTGTAGGAACTGTATATTTAGTGGAAACTAAGTGAAATTTACCTTTGCTGTTAATGCCAATAAAAAAAAATTAGACATAAAATTTACATTGTAATTGTTGATGTAGCAAACATTTCAAATACAAGAAAAGAATTATAAAATAATTTACAGCTTATATCTTATGGCTGTTCAGTGCATATACTTAATCACTGTCCAAACATTACTGAGCATGTTATTCATGTTATGAGATATTTTCGAAATCACAATCAACCACTTTAAATAATAGGGGCACCAGAAAATAAAGATGCTTTTTTACATTAAATTCAAACAAATAAATTTGTAACAAGTTTTTATTTTAATCAATAATATAATCACCCTCGTTATCAGCAACCTTTTTACCATATACAGTCAACATTCAATTAATAATATATGCATATATTTGTAGGAACTGTATATTTAGTGGAAACTAAGTGAAATTTACCTTTGCTGTTAATGCCAATAAAAAAAATTAGACATAAAATTTACATTGTAATTGTTGATGTAGCAAACATTTCAAATACAAGAAAAGAATTATAAAATAATTTACAGCTTATATCTTATGGCTGTTCAGTGCATATACTTAATCACTGTCCAAACATTACTGAGCATGTTATTCATGTTATGAGATATTTTCGAAATCACAATCAACCACTTTAAATAATAGGGGCACCAGAAAATAAAGATGCTTTTTTACATTAAATTCAAACAAATAAATTTGTAACAAGTTTTTATTTTTAATCAATAATATAATCACCCTCGTTATCAGCAACCTTTTACCATATACAGTCAACATTCAATTAATAATATATGCATATATTTGTAGGAACTGTATATTTAGTGGAAACTAAGTGAAATTTACCTTTGCTGTTAATGCCAATAAAAAAAAATTAGACATAAAATTTACATTGTAATTGTTGATGTAGCAAACATTTCAAATACAAGAAAAGAATTATAAAATAATTTACAGCTTATATCTTATGGCTGTTCAGTGCATATACTTAATCACTGTCCAAACATTACTGAGCATGTTATTCATGTTATGAGATATTTTCGAAATCACAATCAACCACTTTAAATAATAGGGGCACCAGAAAATAATGATGCTTTTTTACATTAAATTCAAACAAATAAATTTGTAACAAGTTTTTATTTTTAATCAATAATATAATCACCCTCGTTATCAGCAACCTTTTACCATATACAGTCAAAAGTCTTTAATCTGAACTCGTCGGAACCTCGGCGATTCTGGATTATCGATTTTTCCAAATTATAGATCATCAGTTTAAATCTGGTAAGGGTACAACTCTAATATACGCCCTAATTTCACCAAATGTGGCGATATGTGTTCTGCGCTGGTTTTTGGCACGGTTGCGTGTTCTATGGCAACCCTGTTGACGTTGAAAAATCTTTTGCTGGAGCTCGTTGATTCGCCTCTGTGTCTGAGAAGATGGGAGAGAAAGATAAAATGGTAGTTGTTGAATTGAAGTTCGGCAAAAGGAAATATCATTGTGGCTATCCTGTTGAGGGGTAGTGGGTATTTGGAAGTGTGGAAAGAGGGTCTGGTAGATTATTTTTAATGGCAGTGCATGATAGAAGTAGGGATTTGTGATTTTATTTATTTGTGAACCATAGTATAAATTTTCTGGATAGTGTATCTGGCTGTCATGTAAATACAATAGTGATTACGTGGCGGCATGTTAAAGGCGGTATGAAATTTATATTTCTGCTATTCGAAAACGCATTAATTCATGGTAAGTGCATTTTATTTTATCCTTCTTCTTATTTTGTAGAATGTTATGTTCATTGGTTCTTTAGTATAAATTTCTGTCGTTATTGTTGTTTTTTTTTAAATTGTTTGAAATTAATTTTGTTGTTAGTGTCTAGACTGTGCAATTCGTAGATGTTTTTTAAAGTTGAAACAGAATGCTGTGTACATGGTATTATTTGAAATTTATTGTTATTATGTTATTTTATTAAAGCAAGGAGTGCGTAGATCATAGATTCCTTCCTTGCCTAAATTGTGCAATTCGTAGAATTTTTTTTTAAGTTTAAACAGGATGCTGTATACATGGTATTCTTTGAAATTTATTGTTGTTATGTTAATTTATTAAAGCGAGGTGTGCGTAGTTTGTAGATTCGTTCGTTGCCTACATTGTGCCATTCGTAGATGTTTTTTTAAGTTAAAACATGTCGCTGTGTACATGGATTCTTGTCAAATATTTTTGGTTAGAAACTTTACGTTTTTGCTATCTAAATTTTTTGTTTTTGTTTCGGATTTTTAGCTAAATTGTATGTTGAAAACGTAGTTTTTGCATGTGCGAAAACCGCGTTTTTGGAGACATTTTAGGCTAAAAGTTCGAAATGTAGACAAAAAATTTAGATAGTAATATGGCAGCGTGAAGTTTCTCGCCAAAAATATTTGGCACGAAATTTGGCGACTTGAGGGCGCATATCAGAGTAGTTCCCTGGTAAGATGGCATGCAGAAATTATAAAATTAAAAATATGAAACCGTAATTTATGAAATAAAGAGCAATTATGATCTAAAGGGTATCAAAATTCACAAAAAAAAAAGCTTTATATTTATTTGTTTACTTTATTAAACATTTCTTTCAACGTGCGCATGCATAAAGCATACATTACGCATAGTCGAAATTAGAAAATTGCAACCAGAAAACTATTTGATGTGTATTCGTGATATTTATAATGACGAGGAATTTGATTTAAATCATATCAAAGATGGAGTACATCGAGATGAAATACTACATTTAGTAAGAAATTATAAGCAGAATAAAATAAAAACATCTGCCCTGAAGATAAGGATAGTGCTGATAGATCAACTTCCAGTTCATTGCGTGCCACGTTGTCCCCCCCCCCACAGAGCAGCGTGAAATCGATAAACATATTTCGGAATGATTAGAGAATCAAAGGCTATGCCTTTATCCATTTTTTGTAGCAATTCCACTTTTTGTTTGATGGACATCAGAACATGCTTTCGCTTTGTAGATCCTTCAGTAGCTCCAGAATCGGAAATTCTTTTTGACATAATCGAAAG